CTTTTTTTCTTTTAGAATCCTTTTGAAAATTATATGTGCGAACGACATAACATTCTTCTCGGCCTAACCACATTTCTTTGATTAACAGTTTGTTTGTAACATGCATTAAATTTGTAAACTATATGGTGAAGTTTACTCCATCGAGATTTTAATCCACTCATTCTTTGTGAAAGAACTATGTTTGTCGTCATTGTCATATGTTTATTTGATTCATTCCCAATATTGATCGAATAGTACATTCAACAATGATCGAATTAGAATTATATAATCTAGTACTAAGAATGCTACACGAGATTTCCTCTGAAACATATTTTCACCATTTCTATCAAGTTGGATAATATCAAGTGTGATTGGGAAAGGAGGCTCTAGAGGAATGATATTCATATTTAACATGATTAGGAGTGATGAAAACATAAAAAAATAGTGGTAGATAAATATAATTTTGGAAATTTTGAGAATTTTTATAGATTAGATATTATTGATTTTTGAAATAAATTATTGTAATACAAACAACTAAATTGGTTAGGATCCATAACTCACTAAAAAATTGCATGCAAATATAAAAGAGGTAAATAGGTGAAATAAATAATATATGAATTTTGTTTACCCTTAATTGCGTTTTTATAACATAAAAAACTTACTATTATTGGGTTGGGTAGTAAAATTCTAATTTTTATGCACATTATACTCAACAACTGCAAATGGGTTGAAATCTAAAAGTTTACTTTTTTTTCATTAAGTATCCAACGGTACAATTTTTACTACCACTACTGTGGCCTTCTTTCTCTTTCACAAATACCATTCCTCCACAACTCTTCCTTCCTCTTGCCTTTTTTGCTTCCTCCTTCCCCTCTACTCTTGCATTGTCACTACGTCCACACTATAACTAAGTCATGTTGTCATCATGTCTCCCTACAACTCTATCTCATTGTCATCGCATGTCATTGCGTCTCCCTATAGATTTGTCTCACTGCCAACTCGTGTCACCATGTCTCCTTACAACTCTGCCTCATTATTGTCATGTGTCATCATGTCTCCATGCAACTTTGTCTCACTATCATTGCATGTTGTCACCTCTCGTTGTGGATGAAGGAGGAATGATACTCATGTTTAACATGATTGGGAGTGATAAAAATATAAAAAAATAGTAGTAGATAAATATTATTTTAGGAATTTTAAAAATTTTCATTGATAAGAGATTATTGATTTTGAATTAAATTATAATAATACAAATGACTAAATTAACCGGGATCCATAACTCACTGCAAAAATGCAAGTAAATATAGAAGAGGTAAATAGGTGAAATAAAGAATATGTAAATTTTTTGTTTACCCTTAATTGAGTTTTTATATTGTAAAAAACTTACTATTATTGGGTTATTGGGTTGGGTAGTAAAATTCTAATTTTTATGCACGTTACACTCAACAACTGCAAATGAGTTGAAATCTAAAAGTTTAATTTTTTCCCATTGAGTATCCAACCGTACAATTTTTACTACCACTGTCATGGTCTTCTTTCTCCTTTACAAATACCATTACTCTACAACTCTTCCTTCCTCTTACCCTTCTTTGTTTCCTTCTTCCCCTCTACTCTTGCATTGTCATTACGTCCACACTAACTAAGTCATGTTATCATCATGTCTCCCTACAACTCTATCTCACTATTGTCACATGCCATTGCGTCTCCCTATAGCTTTGTCTCACAACCAACTTGTGTCACCATGTCTCCCTACAGCTCTGTCTCATTATATCGTTATGTGTCATCGTGTCTCCCTACAACTTTGTCTCACTTGTCATTACATGTTTTCACCTCTCGTTGTGGTTGTTGTTTCTCTTTTATCTCCTAAAAATTTTTATTTTTATTTATTATTATTATTATTATTATTATTATGAAATTAGGGATTGACAATTGTCTTTTTTAATTAATTATTATTAGATAGTATTAAAGACTAATGTTCTTTTTTATATTATCATAATAAAAGATAAGTAAAGATGAAAACCTTTTAGTTTTGAAACCAAACATATATAGAAACTATTCGTATAAATGAAGCCTTTGATCTAAAAGAAAAAAAAAGTTTGGATTAAAAGGAAGTTTGGCATAAAAGTAAACATCATGTCAATAATGGGTTTTGATTGAAGTGTCAAGAAAGTATTTTCTTTCCTTCTCAACTATTTCAACTATTGATCATACATTTGTTCGGTATTCGAGTCTGTTTTTTAAAATTTCAGTATCAGTGAGAGGAGTAGATTGACCAACAATAATAACAAAAAATATAAAGATAAATAATATATGTGAATCAAATAATACCAATATCATTGGTCATTACTATTGGGTGACCTAAATAAATTTATGTAGCATATGACCTTAATAGGCTTATGATATTTGGCTTTTGCATTGTGATTTGGTTTTTTTGGACCTTTCATCTATAGCATAGTTTCAAGTGAATGGTGTTCCATGTTAGGTGCTCTAACTTGTATGCACCATTGTTCAAGAACTCAAAAATTCTAAATGGTTCATCCAGTTAGATGCCAGTTTTCCATTATTTTTGTTTCGTTGGCCTTCTCCTACTTTTTATGATACTAGGTCTCCCTTATGGAATTCTCTAGGTTGGACTTTCAAACTGTATCTCTTAATGACTCTCAGTTTGATTGTTGTACCTTTTATCTCTTAGTTGTCTCTCGTACCTCATGAATTAAGTAAAGCTCGTGTGTGGAGCTAATATGTAGGTACCAAGAGGATACACTTTGATGTAGGTACCAAAAGGTTTTGGGGCTTGGATATGTAAATGTGAAGAAGATACTAGGTTTTGATATAAGAACCACAAAGACTTTAGGCTTTGATATGCAAGTATCGCGAAGATATTGAGTTTTGATGTTGGTTTTTGAAAGATATTGGATTTTGATACAAGTACTAATAAGATATTAGGTTTTAATGTGTACGTAAATATTGAACTTTGATGTTGGTATCAGGAAGATAATAAACTTTGATGCAGGTTCTAGAAATATATCGAGCATATTTGAATGTTCGAAAGATAATGCATTTTTGTGCATGATTAGTTCAAAACAATACAAGTGTGCATGTAAAGAAAAGGAAGGAGTTAACTCATTATTTTTTTTCTTTCATCTTTCTTATTTCTCTCCTAATTATTACTATTTTTTATTCAAAGACATATTTTACAAATTAATTATTCTCTTTGCAAACACCAAATTCATAGTTATGACCTCTGGAGAAAAGATATGAATAATGTGTGATAGTTATATATAAGAATCGACATTATTATGCCTTAAGAAAGAATATCATTCAAGTGAATATAGTAGAGATACAATATGGACTCTATTTTTAGGGATGGTGAAATTTAGAACTCTAATATTTAAATAAAAATTTAGATTATTTATGATAAAAAAATATGAAATAGCAAAATAATAATAAAAAAATATATTAAATATTACATTTCAAAATATATTGGGAACAATAATTATATAATTATATTTTTTATCTCAACTCATCCATCCATGTACAGTTATGTACCGTGATCATACTTTACAAAACTTGACAAACAAAAATATATAATAAGTTATTTTTTTATAAAATTTAAAAACTTTAACAAATTATAATTATAAAATATTAATAAATAATATGTGAATAGATTTTATTTTTATTTTTTGAGTAGCTTCTCCGAAAACAAAAAGTTAAGAAACACAAAAAATTTACATACCAACTGTAATTTTCGCATTATATAACAAAGAAAAGATTCATTTTAATATTATAATAATAAGTAATTAAAAAATATAAAAATACATTAAAATAATAAATAAGTTTATTTTATTTTTCATTCAATATTTCCAACTAAATAGCTCAGTGTTTTTTTTTCATATTTTTTTCAATCCATACTTTGATGCAAATTTAAGCTTTGTTCAATCCCTCCATATTTTATATCTTGTAAAGAATGCAGTTATGTAGATTCAAAAAATCTGATTGGATGAAATATAACTTTATAATAATTTAATTTTAAAATTAAAAATTATAAAGTTATAAATAATTAAAATAAAAAATTAAAGATTAAAATGATAACTAAAGAGATGCCGACATAAAATGGTACTGACAATAACATCGAATATCACGTTTTCAAACACACTAAATAGTAGTATGGACAACTTCGTATGTTTCGGCGCTCTTGCAAAAGATGAATCTCATTGATATATATATATAATCCCACAACACCTAACACATTTCATTAAATATAAGTTTAAGAAATGAAAAGTAAATAATAAGTTATTTTATATTTTAAATATAATCAAATTATTTATGATTAATTTAATTAAACTATTACAAAAAATTACTTTCAAGTTGCGCACTGAATATCTTTCTACTAATAAATTAATTGATCCATAAACATGAAAAAAGCAACAGCACCATTAATTGCAGGTGCACCTAAAACATGGTCAAACATCAAACAGCAAAGGAAAAGTACCAAAGCAAACATTGACAAGATGTTGCCTACAACAAACAAATCATTCAAAAAGATCAGTTGATTCATTCAAAACCACTTCTGCTTTGCTCAAATTGTAAAATGACAAAGTACAACACAGAAAAACAAAGCCTTTGCTGCTGTCCACTGATCAGTCCACATTCAAGAGTTTCATAATAATTATATTTTTTTTATATTCATGATAACTATGCATAAGTCACACCCTCAAAACTCTCTCTCTCTCTCTCTCTCTCTCTCTCATATCTCTTGTCTTCCTCAAATTGATTTTGTTTTTCATACTTTTTCCCTACCCTCGTTTCACATTTTACTTGAGCAACCTTTGGCCATTTATTGAACTGAATGTACACATAAGAGTGAAGACAGAACCTACCACAGCAGACCCATTTCTCTGCATCATCACAACCATCACCACTGACTACTGACTACCCACTATTTCCTAACCCCTCTTTATCTCTTCACCTCTTTGGTTTAATGAGTGAAGATTATTGATTCATTCTATCAAACATTTTCTTTATGCAGCTCCTACTCCAAGAAAGTCAATGAAGACCATGTTGGCCTTGTTATCACCCATGTTTTCACTTTCCCCATAAATTGAGAGATTGGTAGTCCCGTTGGTGGCAACTGACTCGGATACTGAAACTTCTGATGAGTTTGAATCTGAATAATGCGATTGGTCCATACCCATGAGCCTTCCAACGTCTCCAGCCTCACATGAACCCTTCCAAGCACCAAAATATTTGTTACAACTCACATCCCTGGCTGGTGTCCTGCTCTCTCCAGATAAACCTGCAACCCCACAGAAATAAATATTAAACATGCAACAGTAAAGAAGAAAATGTCAGGCTCTGGAATTCAAAGGGAGACTTATACAGTGGTCCCAATATTTAATAATACTTATGAATGATTTTTCGGTATTTTGTGATACAAGATAAGTTGTTGAAATTTAAAAATTAACATCATACATGGTTTGTAATATTTAAATTGCAGAACAAATCATACCAATTAGAGAACCAAAGGATCGGTTATTCTGAACAGGACAATGGTTGTGAAAAGACATAGGAGTTGGTTTGGCTGAATAGGGAGTGAAGGAGAGGTTAGTTCCTGTTGAACCAGATTCATCAATGATGGTGCTTGAAATGGTTGATTCACTGGCTCCATTCTTTGGCAAGGTCAAATCCAAATTCTTTGGTGGCAAGATCTGAAATGTGGGCTTTCTCCTTCTGTAGACACATGACTTCTCCCTTTGCCTTCTAGCCATGATCACATGCCAATGATTCTTCACTGCGTTATCTGTCCTACCAGGGAAGAGTCTAGAAATCATGGCCCATTTGTTACCATAGGCTTTGTGAGCATTCAAGAGCCTCTCCTCTTCTTCCTCACTGAAAGCCTTTCGGTTAATTCTAGGATCTAGCTGATTAAACCACCTCAATCTGCAACTTTTGCCTGCAATTACCATTCAAAGCCAAAAAACCAAAAGTCTTGAGGAATCAACATTCTCAAAATTTAAAATAAAATTAACACTGAACAAAAAAAATAATCAAAGAATGTTATTGTCACACCAAGATTTTTAAACAATCTTTTTCACACTATAAAAATCTATTAAAAAAAATCATACTAGATTTTACTAAAAATCAAGACTGTCATTTACCTGATCTTCCCGGTAGATGTTCTGCCATTGAGTTCCAATTTTGAGGTCCAAATTGTGCAACAAGCTCTTTAAGTTTGTCATCTTCAGCGGGCCTCCAATGTCCTCTGGCACAAAGCTTAGTGTGCCTAACTTTTCCTGTGACAGAAGAACTATTTGCTTCAAGCTCGTCACCAGGTTTCAAAGACAAGCTCATGTTCTCAACCCCAAAAGATTCTTCTTCCTCCTCCTGGGGTTGGATCACAGAGGGGTTCAAAATCTTAAAGGGTATGTCAGAACTTTCAGATTCTGTTCCTCCAACATGACCCATGAACCCCAAAGTGTGTGAACAGTGGAGACTAAAAATAGGAACAGGAGGTGAAGGAAAAACATTCATTTCAGCACTGAACCCACAACCACCATTCCTGAAGTGTAGTGAGATACTCATTGAAACTGAAGATGCAGAAAAGCATAAAGGTTTTCACTTTCACAATGCTGAGGTAAGAAAAGCAATAAAAGACAAAGGTTTGATGGGTGAGAAAAGAGAATAAAGGAGAGCACAAAAATATCAAACGGCAAAGAAGAGATTCATGGCCATTTTGAACTCCCTCCCTCACCCAGCCATGGATGAGTTACAGAAGAGAGAGGAGAAAAATGGAGTTCAGAAGTAAGACCCAGTAACCAGAATAAAAAGGACAAGGTTTTAAACAAGAGTTCAAGCAAATTAAAAATGAGAATTTTGTTTTTATTTTTATTTTTTCATTATTGAAAGTTCAGTGTGTTTCTTTCTTCTCTCTTCTGTGGAAATGAGATTAGTGGGTCCACTGGTTTCAGTTTCTCTCTCATTATAAGGAAAAAACCCATTAAACAAATATGAGTGAGTGTGTGTGCATGCAATTCAAGAACCGCTCGTGTGGGTTGTCAGTGTCACTGAGGTCGCACGTTTTTTTCCTTCTCAGCTTTCCTTCTCGGGCTCTGGAAAAAACCAAAAGATACGTGCGATTGTTTGCCAACACTTTTTACTTTTACAATTTCAGTTTATATAACTTTTTTAATTATAATAGGTATTTTGTTCTAAGGTTATTTTTTTTTATAAATTTAACAAATAGGATTAAAAGTTAAAATTATATATTTAATAATTAAAATAAATTATTTTTAAATAGAAATTTTGTTCTAAGGTTATTTTTTTTTATAAATTTAACAAATAGGATTAAAAGTTAAAATTATATATTTAATAATTAAAATAAATTATTTTTAAATAGAAAATTTAAATTATATAAAGATTAAATAAATAGTTAAGTTTATTCTAAAATATATAAAATAATAAAAATAAGTCTGAAAACTACCACTCTGTGTACTCTTGTTTTGATTCAGTACTCGGTGTTAGTTTTCTTTAACTTATCTCTTTCATATTTCTTTATTTATCCAACTTTTATTTTCTTGTAAAGTTTTAATATTTTTCCAAGAAGGAGAAGAATAATTTATTAATTATTTAATATTTTTTAAAATTTTAATGTAATAGTTTTATTCTCCAGGTAACATTTATAAATCATTTAAATAAAGTTAGAAAAAAACCTAATTAGATATAACATTAATATTCATTTTTTACTTAATTCAATTAATTATTTTTTTTATTAATCAGCTTTATAGAATTAGTAAATGAGGTTTTTAATGAATTTCGTAAAATATATTAATGAAAAAGTATTTAATATAATTTATTCAATCATTAAATTGCTTGATAATACCCCTTTTACTAAATATGTTATTTTTATGTTTGTAAACATAATAGTATTCTTATTAAGAGTTGTTTAATAATATATCATAAATATTATTTTAAATGATTTTTCAATAGAGAAATATTATATATTATGATAAGTTGTTTAAATTTTGTTGATAGTTAATTTTATTAAGTAATTTTTAAAAATAAATAAAATAAAGCAAATGAGGAGAGAGATTGAGTTTTTAAAAATTTATTAAGAAAACGTCTATTGAAATAAAATTAATAATGAATTGTTTAAAAATATATGGTGTAACATATTCTTATTTTATAAATTATTAGTTTTAAGATAAGAAACCACTCGTATGAGTATTCACATACAAAATATCTTAGATACTTATATAAATTTAAGATATATATTAATTTTTCTTATTTTTAATAAATATATTAATATTTTTCTCATCTTAATATTCTCTCCATTCAAAATTACTTAATAATTTCTTATCTTTTTTTATTCAATAAATCTAATTAAAAATGTGAAAATATATTTAGTAAAAGAATAATTAATATAACCTTAAACTTTATAAATAATTTATATTTAAAAATAATTTTTAATGAAATATTTTAAAATATAGAAAATACTTATTTTAAAAGATAATGATAAAATTAATAAAAAAATAATTAATATAATCTTAAATTTTGAGAAATATGTATATATATATATATATATAAAAGATTATATATATATATATATATATATATATAATATGTATATATATATCCTATAAAAAATAATTTTCTTAAAATAAGTATTTCTTCTATTTCAAAATATTAAATAAAAGATTATATATATATATATATATATATATATATATATATAGCAAATTCACTCTTTGTATATAGTTTATTTTATACTCAATACATAGATATAGAAGAAAGATTAAGGGTTCGATTGCTTATTATTAAAAAAAAACAAATTTTTAGTTTTAAAAACTAAGAAACATGTTTGATAATTTTTTTTATTAAAAAAGTTTTTAAAAATTATTTTTTTCAAATTTTAAAAAACTAAAAACCATAATAGATAAAAATATTTTCTTTTTTAGTTTTTAAAATTATTTTTTATCAATATTTTCTCCAATATTTACATTAAATCACTCATTTTTATTACTTTAAAGTATTAAAATTATTTTCCAACTTTTTTTTTCATTTATGTTTTTCTCTTTTTGTTTAAAACAATTTTTAGAAAAACTAGAGTTATCAAATAAATTATTTTTCACAATTTATTCTCGAAAGCAGTTTTTTTTTAAATAATCTCTAATTTTTTAAAAAAAAACTAAATCTAGCAAGAATATTAGATTTAATTTCATTAAATTAAGAGACTAAATTTATAACGAGATATTTAAAATATAAAAACATATTCAACAACATAGAGAACTTCATAAATAAGGTTAAGTTGAAATTTTTTTATAAACATTCATCTCTATAATAACTATATATGTACTCTCTAAAATTAGTGTAATGGTGGATTTAAAATCCAAAAGTGGTCGGACAAAACTAAAGTAATAAGGAGAGATTATGCTTAAATAATATTTTGAATAGATAAGTCATTTTTTCTATTTTGTGATTTTAGTTATTTCTAAATTTAAGAGAGAAATCCAGATAATAAGATACATACGTTACGTTGGAGTATTTTCTAAATTGGCTGATACCTGAGTTAAGATTTAGAAATATTCAAGCAAAGAGAATTTAGTTATTTAAATAATAATTTACCTAGAAAATTAAGTATATATGTTTTGGTGTGTTGCAATAAAAGTAAAAGGTATGTTTATATTGTTTTATTGTTGTATGATGTTCATATTGCATGATTGAGGTATAAATGAGTTATGTTGGGTATTGGGATGGAAAAGACTCGAAGTTGAGCAAATCTCGCTTCTCGTCTCAATCTTTGCTCATGTAAGACTTGTTTCAATTGAGCAAAGGTAAGGCGGTGAAAAAGGTGGCCTAAGCTAATGATAGTTTTCTCAAGCTAGAGTTTAGTTGGCTTAAATTTCGTTCCAATAAGACTACTTTCACACAAACAAAAGAAGAGATAATTGATGTGACCAAATTTTGCTCAAGTGAATTTTATTCAAGCGAGTAATTTTTGTTTAAGTGAAATTTTCTAGAAGTTTGGCATGTTTTTTAACTAGACTTCTAAAATTTATAAAAAAAAAATAACTCTGAACTCTAAATTATACATTCCATTTATGCAAAATTGAAATCTTGAAAATAAAGAATTCAATGAAACAAAAATTAGCTAATAAATATATCTACATATAAATTTATAACCAAAATAGTAGGCATAGGTCAAATAAGAAGAATACAAATTAAAGCATTTATTTTAAATAAGTCCAATTTATTACAAATGATAAAAAAGTAAGAAATGACATCTATGATAAATTATAAGATGATATGATGTTGTTGTGTGTTTCTTGATACTAAGACATATATGATGAGACTTAGTTGAGTTAGAAGAGTGACTCATAATCGACTGAGATAAATCTATATATGTGATACCAAGTTGAGTTAGGGATGTGATTCATAAGTGACTTATATGTGTGTAGTTGTAGGTATCCAACGAAGTTTTGCATGGTGTTAGTGTGACTACTATGCTTGTGTTAATTCAATGAGATCTCAAGTTTCATTAATAACCCCGGTAAAATAGATTAAGGTATCAATAGGTGAGGAGTCGATGAGGGAATTACTAATGGCTTGTCCTGAGATCATGAGAGAGGTGCATCAAATATTGTTGTCAGTAGGTCTACTCTATGGGTAGGAAATTTAGGATGATGCTGGTAGTCAGAGTGTATCTGAAGTAGTATCAATTTTAATGTGACCCATAGATGTTAGTTTTTTAGTTTGAAGCACAATGTCGATCTTTTGGAAAATGTCTACATGACCCATAATATGATGTGATGAGCTATAATTATATAATATTATATATGTGATAAATTTGATGGGTAATTATTATTTGAATAATTAACTTACCCTTATTATGTATGACTTAACTACTATTATGTTAATTACATGGGGAGCATATGGTATTATAGGTATGAAGAATATAAGCAAACATTAAGGCTAGTATAAAATATAGTTGGAATAAGAATTTTCTACACATGCTTATTAGTACTTTGTGTCATGATCTCGTACTAGTAGAAAACATTTTTGTATTATATAATTGTTAAAAATGATATACTTACTCTCTTTATATACAATCAATACAAGTTACTTCTCAAGTACAATATAGTATGATAGTAGTGATTTTTAGAATCTTTACAAAATTAGATAATGGAATACATAAATGTGAAATAATTACATTAACTATTTAAATTAAAATTAGAAATTGAATGTGTATAAAATGAATATAAGATATTGGTAAATTTTCTATATTTTCAAGTTTATTTATAACATAAAAATGTATATAAATATTAAAAAGTAAATATAAAAAATAGAGGAAATCATTCATAAATAGTAGCATCAAAACCTATTAATTACATAAGTAAATTCTCAGTCATCCTAAGATAACTAAATTTAAGTATGTGTTTACATCAAAGAGGTTTTTATTAATCAAAAAGTGTATTCATGGATTTAGAAAGAAAGTAATAATTTGCAAGTGATTGTAAGTGATTTGCATGAAAATTTTGGTAGAGTCCACATAAAGGGTTTACCTACAATTTGAACGATATTTAGTT